TAGCCCTAACTGCAAGTGTTGGCCTCAGTCATAGCATATATATATGTAACTATTTTAAATTATTAATAAAGATATAAATAAGGCCTCACCTTAAAAAAAAAAAAAAATAAAAAAATAAAACTTATTATTGTACATTATTTTACTAATTTAAGCTTCTTTTGTTTTGCTGATTCTATTAATTTTTTTGCATCTTTAAATAACCAAACAATCTGTTCTAAAATCTTAATAACCCTTTCTTCAAAATTGCCATTCCAATTAATCAAAGTTCCTTTTTTTGAATAGATTCTATATTCTGGTTTATTTCTATTCATAAAACATTCGAAAAAATACTATAATTTCTTGTCAATAACTATTCTATATGCTTTTTCAATAACAAAATTATCATTCTTATATTTTCTTTTTTAAAAGCTTTATAGAATAACAGTATTAGGCTTAAATAAAATTAATATAATTAAATTTATATTTTTATTTACTTTAAGTGATAAATGAAACTGTATAATTATTTGTGCTGTATCTTATATAAAATTATCTTTTTTTATCTCTAAAACACTAAAAATTATATTTTCCAATATTATACAAAAATCTACTAGTCTATAATCATATTTTTCTTAGATATATTTTTCTGGATATATTTTAACCTTCATACTAGAGGCCTGTGTTGGGTCCTGCAGCCCGGCCTGGCCTGGCCCGGCCGGGCCTGAAGCAAAATTTTATAATTTGAGTCGAGCCAGGCTGAAAAATTTGCAAAACTTTATAATTGCGGGCCAGTGCAAGCCTAAAAATTTGTAAAATTATATAAGAAATTTTTGCGTACCGGGCCGGGCCAGACTGAAGAAAAAATTTGACATATGCGGGCCGGGCCAGGTCAGCAAAAAAATGGTAACCCTAAATGCAAGCCGGACTGGGCCTAAAAAAATTTTTAACCCTAATTGCGAGCCAGGCCAGGCCTTAAAAATAGGCAATTTGCAGGCCCCTACTTCATACCATACATGAAACTAGCTATCACAAAAAATAGTAGCACAAATTTGCTATTATATACTTCTGAAACACTATGGATTGTTGATCAACAGATCTTTAGATCTTCAATAAGATGTATTAATAACTTTTGAAACTTTTCATCTTCAAGTTTATCAATACTACAAGGAAATTTAGGAATATTTATGTAATGAGTTGGCAGTTCAAATATATTGCTAACAGTATTAAAAATCCATTCTAAATATAATTTCTGTATAGTATAAATATTGATTTTAAGACTTAGAGAGTTTGTTGCAATACAAGATTTAAAATATTGCTTATATGATTTGTTATTTAGGCTTTGCTTCTTATTATTTTTGGCATTATCATTACTGTCTCAAAGAATTAAATCTTCTGGATCAACATCTTCTAAAAAAGATAATTAGTAGTAAATATATGTCTTTAGTTCTTTTAGTAACAAGTTAAAAAAATCTATAATTCAACTAAATCTCTTGTTCTTTTTCATATATGATATCTTGATTGAAAATACTGTGAAAAATTACAACAAAAAATTAAAACTGAATTATATAATGACTCAACTTCTTACAAAATATAATATATCTTTTTACTAATTTTGCAAAAATTCCAATTTTTTCTTCAATTCTAGTACTTCTTGTTTTAATATAAATAATACTTCAACTATGACATAAACATAGTATGAGATATAAATTAATACAAATGCAATCATAGTACTACTTATCCTGATTATCATCTTTGATCTTATTAATAAATTCTGTGATTCTTTTAGCTAATCTTAATTTAAAATCAACTTGTATCAACTCTTCTATGTTCGATTTAAGCAAGAATATATATCCATTTCTTGATCATGAAAAATTTTAAAATAATGCTCTCCAAGACCTAAGTTTTGTTTGTTCAAAAAATAATTAGCTGTTCTGTTTTTTTATATTTTTTTAGTAAGTTGATTGTAACTAAAGTAAATATAATGACTTATGTGTTTGATAAATAATACAAACAATTAGATTGCTTACCTTAATACCAAAAAAAAAAAAAACTAACAATTAGATTGTTACATGATAAAATAATAATACCAATATTGTATTTTTCTGTAAGAGAGCTGACATTTAAGAGCTCATTATAGGCCCCTCAGAGAAATGTCAATTGACTATGTCCCACATCTCCAAAGTCAATTATTTGACAATTATAAGTTTTAAAATAATTAATAATATAATTATATAAATCTTGCATATTTTATAAACTCCTTGCATATTTTTATGCACCACTTGCATTACTATGCATAATCATACATATTTATACATGATTATGCATAATAACGCAAGGGGTACATAAAAATATGCAAAGAGTTTATAAAATATGCAAGATTTATATATTTATATTATTAATTACTTTAAAACTTATAATTGTCAAATAAATGACTTTGGGGGTGTGAGACATGATCAATTGACATTTTTCTGGGGGCCTATAATGAGCTCTTAAATGTCAGCTCCCTAACATAAATATTTTATTAATTATTCGAGGATATAATAGATGAGTTAGGAACTTGAAACTATTACGTACGTATGAAATAGTGAAGCCACTTATTTCCTTTAAATTTGCCGTACGCATAATTCGGATTACACTCTAACCCTAACTTTAGGGTAACATGTTCTTAGTTTATAATAGGTACGTGAATTGGTACGACCGTCCGTACGTGAATTGAATACTCCAATAAAAGTGCGATCATGTGATAGGGGAAAATTTTTGTGGGTGATCTACTTCTGTCGCGCAAATAGATGTGAAAGATGAAAGGATTATCAAAAAATCTGGTATAACTATAATAATGTTTATAGGACATAACTTAGTATGACGATAACGATAACATCATTAATTTCAGCCAATCAACATTCTTTAAAAATGATCATATGACAAACTTTGTTAAATGTGATTTTTTTTTGCAATCAAAATTGTAATTAGGTCTTTTTATTTTAAAACATTATGGTGGCATTTTCAAAACCTCTCGATAGATTGCCAGTGCCTCTACAAGCGGTTTTGGAGCCTGTCACCAGCAATGTTCCACGACAGCCGTATAGCAAGACCAAAGTTGTTGCCTCCGCTGCAGTTATAACTCTAGCTGTTTATATTACAAATTATATTTATAAAAGACGAATCGAAAATTCTGGGTCTCAAATTATATATCCATTATCAGGTTTAAATGATAGAATTGACGCTTTTGATGGCCCAGTGTCCGGCAATAACAAATATACCTTAACGGTACCTTATAAAAATCGTACTGCAAAAGTCACTGTTCGTCCAACTTCCACCGAAACTTTTAAAAAACACAAGAAATTATTTCCTGCCGTCACGAGTAGTCAAAGAGTTGGAGTAAACAAAATTTTTTTTAAACAGCTTTCTGCAATTTTAAAAATTATCATACCAAAAATCAGATCAAAAGAAGTTATTATATTGGTGTTACATTCTGTATTTCTGGTGTTAAGAACTTGGTTAAGCATTGTTGTGGCAAGGCTGGACGGAAGAATAGTTCGAGATTTGGTATGTGTATTTTGCAATTATCAAATTTATTATTAATTTTACCTTTATTAATCTTTTTTTTTTTTTTGTCGCAAGGTTGCTGCAAACGGCAAAGAATTTCTTAAAGGGATAATGTACTGGTTTGCTATAGCCATCCCAGCAACATACACAAATAGTATGGTAAATATTGAAGACAAATTAATTGATCACTTGAAACTTGACCTTGTCTGTTCTAAGTAAAAAATTTTTGTGCTTAAATACTAGATTCGTTTTCTCCAGTCAAAATTATCTATCGCTTTCAGAACGCGATTGACGCGTTATGTACATGATCTTTATTTGAATAAAGAGACCGCTTATTATAAAACAATTAATCTTGACAATAGAATCGGTGGTGCTGATCAGTAAGTTTACATAATCGAGTAAATTAAATCTTTGCCTTAATTAATAGTATCATTCATTTGTTCACAATATTAGGTTCATAACTACTGACATAGCTCGTTTTTGTGACGGTCTTGCTTCTTTGTATTCTAATTTGGGTAAACCGTTATTAGATACAATTATATTTAATTACCAATTGACAAAAAGCATTGGTCTTGCCGGAATGATAGGGCTATTCGGAAATTACCTGCTTACTGCGTGGATATTAAGGAAGGCCACCCCTGCTTTCGGTAAATTGGCTGCTCATGAAGCTAAATTGGAAGGCGATTTTCGTGCCGCCCATACTCGTCTTATTACCAATGCTGAAGAGATTGCTTTCTATAATGGAGCTGATTTGGAACTTTCTATTCTGAATCGTACTTATACGAAACTTATTAAACACATAAATTCCATTTTTAAAATCCGTATTGCATATAATATGTTTGAAGACTTTCTAATAAAATATTGTTGGAGTGCGATTGGACTTTTAATGTGTTCTGTGCCTGTTTTCTTTCCTACTTGGGGAGGCCGAGGTGGCAGGCAAGAATTAGATGGTGGTAATACCGTCTATGGAAAAGAAAGAGATCGGACAAAAGCATTTATTACTAATAAAAGGTATTTATCAATTAATTATTAATATTTTATGTTTAATTCATCGACTTATTCAATGACTATCTATACCTCAAGGCTCATGTTGACACTTGCTGATGCTGGAGGTCGTATGATGTATTCTTACAAAGAACTTGCTGAACTTGCCGGCTATACTTCTAGAGTTTATAATTTACTTTCCGTCTTACACTCTCTGTATGCTGGCGAATATGTTGCAACACCTCGTCCGTTGAATTTTCCTGATGACCAAGAATTTTATTCGCTTGGTGATATACATGGTGAAGTCATTTATGGTTATAATGGTTTAAAATTTGAAAGTGTTCCGATTGTCGCACCTAACGCAGGAAATGAGCGAGGAGGTGAAGAATTGATAAAGTCATTGAATATTGCAATAAATCCTGGCGAACATTTGTTAATTACTGGTCCAAACGGTATTGGCAAAACGAGTGTCGCGAGAGTAATCAGTAGATTATGGCCTTTGTTTCGTAATATATATATTTATTTTATTGCTTTATCATTATAATGCTTATCGCAAATATTAATTTTAATATTTATTGTTTTAGGAGGTCGATTATCTAGGCCTGAAGAAAAAGATATTTTTTATATTCCTCAACGTCCATATCTTAGCATAGGCACTCTTCGTGATCAGTACGTTTAATTTAGTTTGTTTCCTTAGATTTTGTTACTATTTTATTATTGTCTGATTTCCTCTTTTTCATAAAGAATCATTTATCCACATTCTTTAACGGATATGAAACGTTCAGGTCGCACTGACAAAGAACTACTCGAAATTCTACGTGTAGTTCATTTGGCTAACATACCTGATCGCGAAGGTGGATGGGAAACTCAAAAAGAATGGAAAGATGTTTTCTCTGGTGGAGAAAAACAAAGGGTATATTTTTTAGAATTTTAGCAAATCATCACGTGGGGCACGGCAATTAGTAAATTCCATGTGGTGATTTAGCATCACTCACCCATAAGATCAGGTGTAACGTGAAATCAAAACAAACCCATTAACGCATTAATTTAGGGTAAGGGTCAGCGTCAAGATTAAGTAATAGTAAAAGCTGTTCTTATACCAAAATCTTGCAAGTAATTTTTTTTATTTGAATGCGAAAAGTGGTTTCATAAGCTTTTTCTTTCGATTTCACGTTACACCTGATCTTACGATCTGATTGGTCGATTAGGTGGGTGCGTTACAATGCACATGCGCTAATTTACATACCCCTATCTTATAAATTTTTGATTTTTACGAGTTTTTTATATTTTATACATTGATTAATTATTTAGATCGGAATTGCAAGACTTTTATACCACCATCCGAAGTTTGCAATTCTTGATGAATGTAAGTATAATTCTATTTATGACATATCTTCTATAAGTGAGTGTGCCAAATGAAAACCTACGAGTAACGTTTTCATGTGACTTTAAGTTCCAATAGCGCTATTTAACGTTAAAATATGGCATCAGAATTTAAATCCTGTAAGGCGAAAACCATCAAATATATAAAATATTTGCATTTGGCATTACTCATTTCATTGGATACGTATCATTTCATCGTCGATCGTTTCGCTGAGCATGATAATTAATATTTAATGTTTGCAATCATTATTAAACATTATTTATCACATCATGTGATGGGGAGCTCAGTGATTATCGATGAGTATCCCATTTCATAATCTCAACATAAATGATTTGAATGTAAACCAATCATCTACATCTACTCCAATTAAATTAGGCACTAGTGCTGTGAGCTCTGACGTCGAAGGATTAATGTATCAGCATGCGAAAGATATCGGCATAAGTAATTATAGTTTTTTTTTCTTTTTTTTTTTTTTTTTGAGCAATTTTTGTTATATAACAATTATATATTCTGTAGCACTTGTTACTATATCCCATCGACCATCTTTATTCAAATATCATTCACATTTACTACGTCTCGGAGATGAAGGTACCTGTGAATTTTCGACAATTGGTACCGAACAAGAACGCATGTCTTTGGAGAAGGAGGTGGCCGCTTTAGAGGCTAAATTGAAAGATGTCGATTCATTGAAAGCCAGAATTGCGGAAATCAATAAAGAACTACAATTGAATATATGATTAGTGATAATTTATGAATTTTGTATAATATACGAATTATTGGAAAGATAAACTGAAGTCTTGTTTAATACGACGATATGTCATAATATTAAATGTTCGATTTAATAGAATAAATAACAAGTATAATTTATATCATGTTTAGAATAGGTGTATTATGAGCATCTTTATTTGTTAAACTTATAAAAAAAAAGACTGCATTACAGTCAAATTTCGTTATAGTCACAACCTTATCCCTTAGCAAATTTGCCTGCTAAATTTCTGATATTTAAGGTCTCATCTAAAAATTTAAAAAGCGTAACAATATGCAAATAAATTATAACTATAAATAGTTTATGTTTTAAATTTTATATTGGCATTTTGTTTTTTTTATTTTAGTTTAGACTAAATTAATAAAATTTTTGTAAATTTTAAGAATTTAAAAAAAAATTCTTTATTAAACTTCTCATTTTTTAAATACAGATTTAATATTAGAGTAATTAGTCAGCGTTTTGGTGAATTATCACTGATTTTGTACACATTTCATAAATGTACAAGTCCGATCTATATAACTTATAGTGACTGAGCATTTTAAACTTTCGATACGATTGGCTTTTGAGTCCAAGTTTTATTTTAAAGTTCATGTTTCTCTAAGTAATCACCGTTATTGCTCAGAACCTTAGTTTTGAACGACTTACCTTTTGAAAATATTAATTCTCATTTAACATTACAGTTTCCATGAATTTATGTTTTCGTGGATTAATCTTAGGTATCTTTTTTTTCTACCCTTTACACTGCAATATATATCATATGTAAATATTTGAGATCACTAACTTTATAGACACTAACTTTTATAGATCGTAGGTTAGATCAATATGATCTAGCTTGATTATAGTGTAATATACTTATCGCTGGCAATTCGTGAAGTATCTTAAAATGTAGTTTTTAATAAACGGCAATCATTTTTGTTTTTGCACTTTAAATAAACATTACTATTGAACCATATTTTGGTTTAGACTTTCAATTATCTTTTAACTTTAATGTGTAAAATTCCCGAATGATTTAGATAGCTTTAAATTTAATTACTTTTTTTTATTTATTTACATGATTTTCAGAATAAATTTATATCCTGCTTTTGAGTGCAATTATGCAATCTGGCCAAATTACTGAAAATACAAGGCTGAGTTTTCTTTTGCCAACCTTTTCCATATTATTCAATCGATTAAAACTTTTGGGTTGAAATTCTTTAATACGATCATCAATATCTTTAACTTGTCATTCTTGTTAACTTGTTTGTTCTTAAGTTATTTTTTCCAATTCTTACAATGGGCTAGAGATATGTTGTATTGTTTATACCTTATATACATTATACCTTCTTTTTTTTTGATATTGAACATTATGCCATTTAAATCTACTCATTGTTTTTCATATTTTCTCTAAATATGCTTTATTTGATTCTATCTCTAATTATCTATTTAAAATTGCCAGTGATTCTTTATATCTGCTTATCAAGTAATCAACTATTTCACAATATCTTAATGTACTTGTAAAGTTCTATTGTTATTTAGAAATGGTATGAAACTCTTTAAAGCATAAATGTTGTTTGTTATAACATAATGCTATACCATATTTAGTACACTATATTTGAGACTAGGGAGGATTTTTAAAGGTAGCTTATTAATTTTTTTTTTTGAAAAAACAATACCATAAACAGGCATTTCTTCTCTTTCTATATTTTGAAAAGTAATTTACATTGATGAATCTATCTAATGCCAATTCAAAATTTTCTGAAATTCTTATTTTTTTTGGATTATTTGTTTTTTCTTCAACTAAATTAACTGGATTTTGACTTTGGTTTCTTGTTGTATGCTTTAAGAGATTTTCTACTACATCTGCAATTAAACTTCACACTAATTCTAATTTATAATTTTTATAATTTGTACATATTTCTAATTTTTTGCATATAAGAAATGAGTTTATAATAGACATATCTAATAGTCAAAAAAATAAAAGTATCCAAGTTCTATAAATTACTAGTTGTGTTGAATAATAACTGCATGTTGGTTTGCTATATCTACACTTCTCATAAAATAATTGTAATCATTAATAACCTTTAGAATAAACACAATTTTTTGAGTAGATTTTTCAAATACTGACTTAATTTTACTATTAGTGCTTGTTTCTCTTGGTCATCATCTTTTTTTACTAATTCTGCTTTCTTTCTTATTAATAAAATGTATTGTAGTTAATATAGTTACAGAATCATTATTTATCCAAAGCAATGCCAGCATATTATTTACTATAACATCTTTTAAAAAATCACATTCTAATTTTTTTTTCTTTTTCTTTTTTTAGAAATATAGAAAATTTTGCCAAATTAGTTCAAACTGTATCACATGTTCCATAACTATTATTGTGAAAAAAGCTAAACAAGTTCTTAGTTGAAAAATAGTTATTCATAAAACCATTGAATGTTTTGTTAAATAGAAGTTGTTTTATTAAATAATAAATTTCAGATTCAGTTTTATTAAAATTAGAAATTAAATTGACATTAGAAGGCTTGATTCTTGATATAAACATAAAAGTATACATGTAACCTGTTTGTTTTTAATTTGAAAAATATATATACTATTCTTAAAAAACCAAGTAATCATCTCATCAATTAACATATTTGAAACAAAAGTATAAAGTTTTTTTAATATATTATAAATATATAATGCAAGAGGCTCAAACTTTATAAATATATTAGTTTTTGAAATTTGAATACAATCTGAAATATGTAGGGTGTGGCAACCTAGTGAAGTGAATAGGTTGTCAATCCTCAAGTGGCAGGTCTAAGGTTCAATTCCCATGGACGACAAATTTTGGAAATTATATCTATGTTATGGTAACTGTCTTTTGCCGATCGGTTGGGTTTTGGACATCTGTAATCTTAGGTACACCAAGTCGGGCCCCACCTGACATTGGGAGCTTGGGGCATCTATGCGAAGTGTAATGTTACATGGTACATGTACATAAAGGAATGTAAAACCAGTGTCATATAAGGCTTCAAGCAAATCCACAATAAGACCATCAGGCATAGAAGGCTAAGAAATTAAAAAGATGGAAACTCACTTGGAAATCCTGAGTAAAGAGGTAGCACAAACTTTCGATAGTGCCATTGGACTGACAGAAGCCCATAAAACATCTTCATAGGAACTGTCAGATAAACCAGATGACAAAGATGTATAGAAGAGCATATGACCAACTAGGCCGCTAGAATTGCTAGAGAAAAAGAATATATAAGTATACCATACTAGGCCATCTGGATTGGGAGTCTGGGGAAGTCTGTTGTTGGTTCTGAGTTGCAGCTAGTAGGGGATGATAGAGAAGAAGTCAGAAAGATGGGTACCAGAATTTGGGTAAAGTTTACAAGGGTAATAGTGGTTTAAGGGATAATCCTGACTGCAAGTGTTGGCTCTGGTTATAGTGTCAAACCAGGTTAGCGGTAAAAGAGAATACAGCTCGCTCTGGTAGGTTTACCTTGAGGATAAAAATAGTCTAAAGATTATAGTCCTATGATCAAATATGAATAAATCCAGGTCTGTGATCTGGTGAAATTAATACTAGAGTTAGATCAGAGGGTTTAAATAGAACATCTAAGCAGGGGTGTTAGGTATGGCAACTGGTAGGAAACCCTCGGGTAGACTTCTTAAATAGGTAATATAGAAAAGTTATATGTGTAGCCAGTTGTACACTCATCTAATAGTTCATTATAGATATGTCTATATAAGACATGTACCTGCTATAAGTATTAATAAAAAGCTCAGACCAAAGAGGTCACCTTAATACTGAAAAAAAAAAAAAAATTCTTAACTAATTAAAGATTTATTTGAATATTATTATCTCTTAATTTGTAGGCTTTTTTAAACAAATTTATCTAGAAAATTATTAAAAATATGATTATAATCTACTTTTTTTAAATTTTAAAATATTTAAAAATAAGAATTATATTATAAGAAAAAAATATATATTGCTTATAAGCTAAAAATAAATAAATTTAGAAAAAAATTTTAATTAAAAAAATTATTTATAGTACAAATTTTTGATAAACTCTTTTTTTTTTAACTTTAAGCAGTTATACTAGTACTTTATTAAAATTTTTAAATCTATATATATATACAATTATATAAAATTTTCTAATATCTAAGTTTAGCATTACTTAGCCATCCTAATAGTATTTAAGTACAACCTGTTACACTATCTTAGTTAGAAATAGACTGCTTAGCTAACTACTTAAAACCATATTAAAAGAGTTTTTTCTTTTTTGTAACAAGTATATTAATTGTCTTTTAAGCTTTTTTCTTTATTTGATTTATTTTTTCTATTTTTTTTTTCTTTTGCTTGTTTATTTTTTTTCTTTTACTTCTAACTTTTTTCTTATATAAGTATTTTTTTTATTTTATTTATTATATTAATCTTCTTTTCTTAGTCTTGTATCTTTTTATATTGAACTCTTCATACTTGGTTGTAGAAAGTGTTTTATGCTATTTTTATTATTATTTTTATGCACTTCTGTGTTGCCTGCTTGTTTAAAAGGCATTTAAGCCTTTCTTCTACTTTTAGCATTATAAGTTTTTTTATTAGCACTTTCTTATTTATAATTTTTTCTGCTTCTGTTTTTCTGAATAATGTTTTATATAATATTTGTAAAGAAATTCTGTTTTTCTTTTTCTTTTTGAGCTTATTTTATGCTGTTGCTATTACAACTTTTTGGATCTGCTTTTATAATCTTTTTTGTTTACTACAACTTGTTAAATATGTTAGAGTTTCTTTTTTCTATTTTAGTATACTTGGCACTCTGCAGTTATATAGATTTTTAGTTTTTTTTTGTTTCATATTAATAGGCTGTTTATTATGTACTTAATTGCTATAACTCTTCTTGTACTGAGTTTTCTTAAGATATAGTAAACTCTTTTTGTTCTGTTTATTTCTTTTCAAAAACTTAACTAATTATATATGTTTTTTGTTTTTGGTTCTAGTAT